TTCAATACCACCACCACTCTCAATGATTATTTGACGTCGAAAGTGTAACAATAATTGTGTTGAGTTAGGAAGGAGAATTGCAGATCGAAACATTTACAATCAGAATTAATCACTTTTTTCCTCCCCTCCCCTCAAACACCTCCCCCTCCCTCCACCCCTCAGTCCCCAAGTTCTCTCCCCCCACCACCCTCAACGACTACCTGCGACAGACGGCCGGACTCAAGGGCACCAAGGTGATGTGTCGTGAGGCGGGCTGTGGGACCTGTGCGGTGACAGTGAGTCACGTCAGCCCTGACTCGGACACCGTGGACACGTACAGCGTACAGTCTGTGAGTTCTACAACACACTACATCTACATACACTACATCTACAACACACGTCATCTACATGCACTGCATGATTTACATCATTTATATAGTGCCGTGACACGTACAGCGTGCAGTCTGTGAGTTCTACAACACACGTCATCTACAACACACTACATCTACAACACACGTCATCTACAACACACTACATCTACAACACACGTCATCTACAACACACGTCATCTACAACACACTACATCTACAACACACGTCATCTACACACACTACATGATTTACATCATTTATATAGTGGGTGACGGTGAGTTCTACAACACACTACATCTACATACACTGAATGATTTACATCATTTATATAGTGGGTGACGGTGAGTTCTACAACACACTACATCTACAACACACGTCATCTACATACACTGCATCTACATACACTACATCTACATACACTGCATGATTTACATCATTTATATAGTGCCATCAAAAATTCGAGGCGCAACTTATCCTCAAATATCTCGTTAACGGGTCAATCAATGTTATCCATACTTTGCACAGCAGTTTGCCTCAATTTGTCTTAACTAGATCTAAATCATATTTTTCCACAACACTTGGGGCTAGATTTTAAAAAAAACATGTCTTCATAAATTTGTATAAAATACTCTGAAATCTCTGTCAAACGTAAAATGGGATTGTTTACAGCGCTTCCCGCATCTCACGCACATTTTGATTTTACGCACGGCCTACGTCACAGCTCATCAATGACAATTTTCTGTTGCAAAACTTGTTTCAAGAACTTCCTTTTTTTAGTGACCACATTTTTTACACTAATAATTTTCAAAACATGCGTTCAATAAGCGTAATGTCCCCATTAGAAAAACTTGCCAGACTTGCTATTAAACGCTATATTACGTCAGCTGTAAACATTTTTTAAATAAGTAAAAACCACCTACTTGGATTTTTAAAATTAATATTAAATTATTAGAGAATTTTCTAAAATACAGCTAGCACGTGTTTACAAAAACGTAGATTTGTTCAGACAAATTGATTCAAGTCATTGTTCCAAAATTGGAGAACCGTTGTTTGATAGTTGAGATCTTTCACAATAAGCTGCGCCACGAATTTTTGACCCCACTATAGGAGGCGGGTTTCCATTCTGGCTGTCAGGGTCAACGCCGGGCTGGAAGGGACACAATTCACGTCTCAGCAGAATGACCGAGATGCTCGATAAACATTCTTCTCACGCGGGAATCGAACTCAGGCCTTCTGCGTGTGACGGCGAAGCAAAATCCTTAACCTCTATACCACAGGCGGCGGCTAGGATTACATTCGAGGTCTCGCATCTTTACCAACGCGAGTGTGTTGAAAGGTGGACAAAGCCTATATCAATATTGTATCATGTCCAACGTAGCCTGACACTCAGGGAGAGAACGACATTTTATTTATTTGTGTGTCTGAAGTTGTCAGTGATGCGGATTGATGTTAAACGTACTTAAAGAATTGGACTCCATGCAATGTGCGAGTTGTTGTCTTATCTTCAATAGTTTATTATTGTTGGGCTGTTGTTGTTTTGTTGCTGTTATTGTTATTGTTGGGATTATTGTTATTGCTTGAGTGTTTGTTTGTTTGTTTGTTTGGGTTTCGTTTATTTGGTTGTTATGTAAAATTTGTGTTGGGGGTTCTTGTTTTTTGAGAGTTGTGTTGTCTGTAAACCAAAAGCTGACGCTGAAAGTGTATTTTCTAAAGTGCCTGAAGGAATAGTGAACTACAAACTGACGCAAAATGTTTGTTTTTTTCTAAGTTACGTAAAAATGTGTTGGAATTGTGAAAATGATTATGTTTCAAGAAGAACAAAACTAGAAAAACAGAACAAGGAAAGGTGGAATTGTTTAGTCGGGGATGATGATGATGATGATGATGATGATGATGATGATGATGATGATGATGATGA